CTCAAATGTGTGAAATTGTGCTTGAGTAAACAATGTCCCAGCTTACCTGGTTGTTCAGTTAGGAGGAAAAGTCATATCTAGGCTGTGGAAGTTCAAGTAGGTAGCCGCATCAGTATGCGTAGGCTGCAAAGGAACAAGTAAAGGTTTATTCCATGCTGGAAAGAGAAGAAAAGAAACGCACCCGAAGAAGCCACACCTGAAAAATACTCCACAGACTGTTCCTTTGCATATCTAGGCTTTGTATAGCTAGTGTAGTTCCATGTTCCACTTGTGAATGTTCTAGCTTACTTCAAAGTGTACATTGTACTTTTTTTCCTGATCTGTACGTTACAACTGTACAACTTTATCTCTGACTTTCGTTGGAAACACCTTGGTCTTCATGGTTGAATTCTTTCTTGGAATTCACCACCTGACGGAGGGACCAAAGAGGCAGGTGCTCAGTATTGTTAAAATTATGAATCACACTGAAGCCAATCAACTAATTGTATGCCTCTTCAAGTCAATTATGTGCACCTAAACTAATTTGGGTTTCTCGCATCGAAGGGTTTGGATACTTATGTAATCATGACATTTTCCATTTTTCTTGCATATTATTTATATACTACTTTTTTGTTTTTGGCTTTGAATGTGCAGAGTAGGTCATGTGTAGCATGAAAGTGCTACTTTAAAGTGTCCTGATTGCAAACTTTAAAAAAACAAAATAAAAAAAATGGTCAAAGGTTTGAATACATTTGCAAGACACCGTACATGTCGATAATAACTGTGGAGTTGAAAGACCAGCAAATTTTCTGACTATCCATGATGAGGATTCTTCCATTCAACTTTATTCTTAAGTTTCTGTTGTTTAACATCATCCATGCAAAATCCATCCCAGTCTCTTTCCAGAGGTCATTTTTATTTTGTCTTGCACATTCTTTGATATCTGGCTTCTTTCTTGATTTTCTTTTCTGATAAAATCAGGTCAGGAACATTGTTTGTCCTAGTTGAAGTGAGCTCTGATTGTTCCTAAATGTCGTGTTATACTGATCTTACGTTGACTCTATAGTACAACACGACTGTTTTTAAATTGTTGGCATTTTTGTAATCAGCCACCCTGGATGTATCCATGATTTTACATGATATCCATGATATCCTGTCCTTTGTAACTGGCTCAAGGTAGATGTTTTGTAGTGCTGAGTCTGCTCTTTCAACAGTGCCATAGCTGCTGCAGAGGCCCAATCAATTTAGCATAGTCATAAGGAAACAGCTGCTTGCTAAAGTACATTGAATTAATAAACCAGCATGCTTAAAGTTTTCTTTGATCTGAAAAGTGAAGCAACTTCTGTCCTACAGATAAAATCTGTCAATGAATGGTCATAGTTGCTGTGAAGTCCTCACTCATCTCTCCTTGAATGACATTCTTCAGAAATATGTAGACAATCTCTGGAAGCAAAGACATTAGGCAACACGTTTCTAAGATTGCTGTTTTAGGTAATGGGTGTGCAGTTCACTACAGCACCACTTTCATCAGATCTATCATGACTGCTGCAATTAAAAAGTCTTTATTGTAGTTTCACCTAGAGTTTGAATTTGTTCATATGTTTGGTGTATAGTTTATAACATATTCTTTTTCAACTTCGTGTGTTGAGTTCATGAAACTTGTACATTAAAATCCGCCTATATTTTGTTTAATTGATCATATTTCCAAATCATATAAAGAATTTTGTATTGGGACCTGTTCTTTCCCAGAGGAAAAAAAACATCTGTACACAGGAGTTTACATTTTCCCTGACGCAGAAGTTTTCAGTACAGATGAATACCTCAAAGCAGTTTTAGTTCATTTAATTTTGCCAATGTCATGTTTGTCCTGGGTCAAAAGTCAAATGTTGGATATGTATGAAAGAAATGAATTACAGTAAAGAGGTGTTAGAATTTTTCAACAGACCTCTTATTGCAGATAACAAGTATGGCAAGCTTTTTTGAAAGTTTTTTTAATATTATTGTTTTGCAGTCTGGACTCCTATTGCACTGACAGTGTTGTTAGTTGCAGTTGCAACATTATGCAAGGAGCAGGGAATAACTGTCATTGGAGTCTGCTGTGTCTATGAAGTATTTGTTGCTCAAGGGGTAAGGACATCCTGACATTTCTATAAATCATATCTTTGAAGATATTTCAAAACTTTTTTTTTCCATTTGTCTTTTTGTATTTTATGGAACATCGTAAGAGACCCTGTACACTGTTGGGACATTTGAAGTTCATATAATAGAAGTTTTAGAACAAGGTCTAATATATACCTATACCTGTCTAAGAGGGAAAATAGGTATGGGACACTGCTTTCAGCGTGTGCAATATTTTGTATCCCTCTCTCCTATCATTGCCCTTGCATTTGCACCTTAGCTCCTTCTACATAGGAGGGGGGTTTCAGATTTCTCACCCAGTGAACCACTAAACTCTAGGGTTACTACTTAATTGATTAGAAGTAGCCATTAGCATTTACTACGTTTCAGACATTAAAGAAGGTTTAACATTTCTTGCGTCATCAGCTTGTTATTAACTGTAAAAATAATGTATATCAAAATAAAAAGAAAGGTGTTACATTAAAGGTTTACTTATGTGGTTATTTTTGAATTATCATAAATTAAGTACAGAGGTCAAACTTAAAAATTAAGACTTTATTTTTTAGATATTTTTCCCTGTTGTTATTTTTAAATCCATCTGAAATTCCAAATCCTAGATGAAAATTCCTCAAATTTGACAAGTTTGTTAAAGGCCTTTGTGAAGTGATGTGAGAGTAAACATATCATATAGGTCACATGGCTGCAATATTTGATTTTGAGCAAAAATTGATCAAATGTAAAAATTTCCATTCTGTGTTATGTTGTGGAAGTTGAGAAGTCTTAATAAAGCTGGAATCTGCATTTATTGAGAATGGATTTGACATCAAACACGAAGGAACACATTCTAACTTTTAATCAAACTTTTATTAATATGCTATATAATAGCTATATAAAGACAATATTTATATTTATTTTTTACATATATTACATTTAGGTTATCAGAAGCAGAGCATGTGATTTATTAACACAGCATTCTTCTGTGTTTGTGTAAATATAGGTAGCCAGACGTAAATGTGTGGTATTTTTGTAGTCATATTTTTTTTCTTTTTTTCAGTTTACTTTGCCTATGTTGGTTGACACGTTGCTTCAAGTTCTGCGAGGAAAAGATGGTCTTCCATATTCCATTCTGCAAACATTATTAAAGCTTATTGTTCTCATTATCAGCACTTTATTATTGGTAATTATAAGGGTGCAGGTTATCCAATCTCAGCTGCCTGTGTTTACCAGGTAAGAATAATGTTAATATCACAAAATTATAAATTCACTAAACAAACATAGCTATACAGCTGAATTATTCAGATAGAGTATTACTTGTTTCTAGAAGTCTGCTTTTAAAAGAGATGCACAATCACCAGAAGTAGTAAATACAGTGCTGTGAATAAGTAAGTACACCACATGAAAAGGTGTGTGTTTCTCCACATATTTGCATTTATGGATATTTTATCTTAATTTCAACAATATTGATAAAGGTGATCTAAATTAACAAATATCAATGAAAATTATTCTTTGCAATCATTTATTCAACACAAAAAGTAAAAAAATGCAATTGTCAGCTGTGGAAAAAATAAGTACACACCCTAGCTTCAATAGCTAGTGTTGGCCCCTATGGCAGAAATCACTTCTTGTAGGCCTTTCTTGTAATTGTCTATCAGTCTCCTACTGTATATTGACTTGGATACATTTTTGCCCGCTCCTCCTAACATAACACCTTCAACTGTATGATGTTTGATGGCTTTCTTGCATGTACTGCCCACAGCATTTCTATGTGGGTTAAGATCTGGGCTTTGACTTGGCCATTCCATAACCTTCCATTTACTCTTTTTGAGCCATTCTTTTGTGGATTTGCCTGAGTGTTTTGGGTCATTGTCTTGTTGCCAGGTCCACTTATGGTTCAGCTTCAGCTTTTTGACAGATGGCCTCACATTTTCCTCAAGTACTCTTGGGTACAATGTGAAATTCATGGTTGACTCCATGATGGCAAGCTGGCCAGGCTCTGAGGCAGAAAAGCAGCCATAGACCATAATGCGTCCACCACCATGCTTTACAGTTGGTATGAGCTTCTTTTGGTCAAAGGCAGTTTTTGGTTTTTACCAAACATGACGTCTGGTATTGTGGCCAGACAGCTCTACCTTTGTCTCGTCTGTCCAGAGCACATTGTTCCAATAGTCCTGATCTTCACCTAGATGTTGTCTGGCAAACTTCAGTCGTGCATCTACATTCTTTTTTGAGAGCAGAGGCTTCTTCCTTCCTTACCTCGCATGTAGGGCAAAGTTGTGCAGTTTCTTTCGGATAGTTCACTTTGACATTGACTGAGGCAAGACTTGCTTGTAAATCCCTTGATGTTATCCTGGGGTTCTTGGGAGACTTCCTGCAGCATCTTTCGGTCAGTGCATGTGTTGAATTTGGTCGGACAACCGGGCCTGGATAGATTGCCAGTGGTTTGAAATTGTATCCATTTGTAGATGATCTTTTGGACAGTGGAGTGATTGGCTGCAAATTATCTTTAAAATACCTTTAAAACCCTTCCCAGACTCATATGCATCAACAGTCTTTCTTCTGAGGGCTGCAGAGAGCTCTTTGGATCTTGGCATGATGTAGCAACACACCTCAATTGCTAAGACCAAACCAGACCACAGGTTTCTGATGTTTATATAAGCTAGCGCCCTCCAATTTACTCTCTAGTGATGTTCTAATCTTTTGCACCTGTTTTGGTGATTCTAATTTTAGGCATTTGATGCAATGATAAAGGTAGGGGTGTACTACCTTTTTCCACACAAGGAAATTGCAGTTCTGTCACTTTAAATAGTACAAATAAGTGCAAAATGTGATTTTTTAATTAGTTTACCTTTATCTATCACTGATATTATCAGTTTTGTTGAAATGGCGATCAAATATCCTTTTGTCCAAAAATGTAAAAAAGACAAACCTTTTCATGGGGTGTACTTACTTTTTCACACCGCTGTAGATAAAATATTACACAGTGTGCAGATGTTATTGAATTAGAAGAGGTTTTCCACTAAGTATTGTGATATTTGGTTTGAATTAGAATAAAACCTTTGTCAATGTTTTAGACACACAAGTGTCACCAGTTTTCATTTACTGACATATTGGTTGTACCGTGTCAAAACAGTATTCAAATTCCTAATCTTTCCCAATAATGTTAAACTAGTTAATTTATTTGAGACATAATTCACAGATGCTGCTGCTGAAAAACTCAACTCTACAGGATCAGAGTTGAAAACTCATTCTGTTGGTTATTTTTTTGGAATTATGTAAATTTAAGAGCAGACACAAAATTTGAAACATTAATGAATACCTCTGAAAAAATAAGTACATTTTTCTACACATCTCTTTTAACACCAGTTCAAATTTTGCTAGAAATTAAATACAGAACTCCAGACTGAAACTCAGTGCAAACTCGAAATTTGTTTACCAGTTTACACATTTAATATTTACAGTTAAAAATACAGATACATTTAATCTGTGTAAACTGTATTCTATTGAAATGGGATAATCTGAGAAGAGATCTCCACCTATTGTTAGATATTGAGTAGTATTCTAATTCCTGTCTGATATGTCCTTATTGCTCTCGCAAGGTTAGAAGGTTTAGCTAGTATTGTGGTTTCACAATGCTGTATAAACAAACACCAGTGTCACTTAAAACGTCATTCAGATTTTATGTAGTAGTGTTTGCTAGTCATGTATGATCAAGTGGCAATATGTAGATTCCTGTATACCCTCATGTTCCGTATTTCATAAAATGTTCAGATTTAAGTGTTTGTTTATTTTCCAAACTGAGTATACTAAAATATAAATCTGTGATGTTTGTTTGTTATTTTGTTTTGCTTCAAGGGTTTCAATGACAAAATCAGTCTAACAGGTTTTTTTTTTCTGGTTCCATTTATGCAGACCCGTTCTCTTCATGATCTTGTATTCTGCTGTGTTGTGCAATACATTTTTTTGTGCATAACAAATTAATCCCTTTCCAAATATCCTGCAGACAATGTCTTGTAAAGCATAAAGATCTCATGGTGGAAGTTATATCTGTGAATTCATGTTGTTCTTCATACAACAGACAAGGCAAATTAGAAAGTGTATTCGTTTATATCTTTAGAATTTTAAGTTGAACTTTAGACTGCGGCCCCAGCAATTGAGACATGAAGATAAATGATGAAAAGGACAAGTAATTGGCAGCAGCTTTACTACCTTGTAGCCCGATCTTGTCAGATCTCAGATATGTAGTTAGACTGGTTCTGGATAGCACCTGGATAGGACTCAGTAGGTGACACTTCCCCCCGGTCCAGGATTTTTAAACCAATGCCCCAGTATGTGACACTTGGCTCTTTAGTGGTGCCATTAATCAGAGTCTTTACGTACACTATTCTGACTACTTGTAACCCAGGTGGGTGCTATCTTCTAGTGGTGGTGGAGTGCAATAATTATGAATTTGATTTGTTTGTGAGTGCCACCTAACCATAAAACATCTAAGTGACAAAATATACTACCTCTATGTTTAATTGTAGTAACTTTCTATTATAAGGTATATTTCTTTTAATGGTGCACTTTTTTCTCTTTTTTTAGATTTGATAACCCTGCGGCTGTTAGCCAAACACCTACAAGGCAGTTGACTTTTAACTACCTCTTGCCAGTTAATGCTTGGCTACTCCTGAACCCATCCGAGTTATGTTGTGATTGGACAATGGGTACTATTCCACTAGTTGAGTCCTTACTGGATGTCAGAAATCTTGCCACCATATCCTTCTACTGTTTGCTTGGGATGATGGTGTATCAAAGTCTCCGATACTCTGAGAACTCATCAAAAACTGTTATCATGGTAAGGTTCAAAAAGTGAATGTAAAATGTTTGAGCTCAGTGCTTTTAACGTTAACTCTTTCTCATTTTATCCTCCAAAGCAGAACATGCCCTGTAATATGATGACACAGCCCAATGCATGTTGTTACATTAGTTTTATTTTTTATATTTAACCTTTAATGTATCAATATTGACACTGTGACATCTTCTAGGATACTTATGTGTAATGGTAAAAATAAAACATCAGAAATATGTGGATTTATTTATATTATTTTAACTTTGGTTAAAATTCATTTATATTTAATAATTATGAGTTAGTGAATATTAACTGAATAGTGCTTTCTCATCTATAAGGATTCTAAAGCATTTTATTTCAGGATACCAACAGTGAAGTGTAGCACCTACATGGCAAAGCATTGCAATTATTCTCTGTTCACATCACTGCGCAGCAGGTTAGAATGAGTATTGAAAAAATTCTTTACCAATTTAACCTAGGAAGAAACTCATGCTGCATAGAATATTAATACTCCTTTAAATTCTTAAAACCATGTAAATCCATGGATTATCATACTGCGTGATTGGAGGTCTCCCTCATCAGCACTGTGTATTAAAAAGCATTTAACTTTCCTTCTTGTTTAACGAATGTAAAATATGAGTTATAAAATCCATCTGGAGTAGCATTTGAAAAAAAAATGTTATTTTAATTTTTATGCTCTGAATATCAAGAGTTCAATTTCAATTTTAAAAGATTTTTTTTTTAATGGGAAGGTCATTAATCTTATATCTTGTGAAACTCGCTGTGATTCTGCCCTGAAATAATATGAAATAGTGCTGCAATAGCTTCCTTTTGTAAGCTAAATAGAGTTTATGAACTTGTACAAACGTTGTTTATGCTCTCATGATTTGTCTCAGGGAGAGGAGATTAATCTTAATTAGTATTACATTTCCCTTCTTACACTTTAAAAACCAAGGGATTTGTCTGAACCATTAAAGAAACGTTTTAAGACCATTACATTTTGATATCAGGCTGCTTGTGTTTTATTTGGCTCAAGGGCTAGTGGGTAACAAAGTAACCAAGATCTTAGTTGAAAAGTGATTGCTTAAGTTGGTGTAAAAGCAAATGCATCGTTGAAGTGGTAAACTAATTGTAATTTTTTAATTAAACATTAAAAGTAGTACAGATCAAAGATCTTTTTTTTAATTAGGATCCATATTTATATTATTTAGGTAGTGAATTTGTGTTCTGTATTTCTGTACCTGCAGTCATTCATGTTATCAAAGAATGTTTGTCTTTACAAGGGAACATTAGGATTATGTTAGATAATGCGCTGCAAAGTCTGTGTACTCTTAAATAAGTTTAAGAATAAGTGTTTGATGATTTTTATGTATCGTATCACCATTGTCATTTAAAAATGTCCCTTCCTATTGGCCAGAATACTCTGGAATTTCAGTGGGTTAGTGTTAGGGTTCCACCTTCATGGTACAGCCTTTCCAAAATCAGCAAGAAAACACAAATGCCAACCTGCTCATCCTTTTTTATACAACACAAAAAGGATTTAAGTTCAAGTTTATTGTCAACGAAATGCTATTTAGCTAGCTCTCATACGATAAGAAGTACAAAAAAAACAACAATACAATTGTATAAGAAAAGAAAGACAGAGACAACAGGCAATGTACAAAACAACAACAGGTAATGTGCAAAACAACATCAGATGTGCAAAATCATACATCAACAGAATGAAGTAAAGGATAGAAAATTATGGGGAGTGAGTTTCTTGAGATGTGAGGTAGAGGTAGATTTCAATGTATGTTTGAGTTTTGGTAAGAGAGAAGGCACTGTGAGGTTCAGATCGTAGGTGAGGGAGGCTGAGAGTTTAATAGTTTGATAGTGCAGGGGTGAAAACTGTCTCTGAGTCTGGTAGTCCGGGCCCGAATGCTCCGGTACCATTTTCTAGATGGTAGAGGGTCAAACAGTCTGTAGCTGGGGTGTGTGGGGTCTTTGATGATGCTTAGATCTTTCCTCAAGCACCGTCTGTCATAAATGTCCTGGATGAATGGGAGAGCAACCCCAGTGATGGACTGGGCAGTTTTCACCACCCGCTGTAGGGCTTTGCGGTCAGCAATACTGCAGTTGCCATACCACACTGTGATGCAACCTGTCAGTGTGCTTTCTGTAGTGCATCTGTAAAAGTTAGTGAGGATCTGGGGAGATATCTAAGCCTTCTTCAACTGTCTTATGAAGTACAGGCGCTGTTGCGCTTCCTTGATCAGACAAGTGCGTTGGGAGACCATGTGAGGTCCTCGGTGATATGGACACCAAGGAGTTTGAAGTTACTGACCCTTTCCACTTCAGTCCTGTTGATGTGGATAGGGGCATGTCTGTTTTGCAGTTTCCTGAAATCAACGATCAGCTCCTTGGTTTTGCTGACATTGAGGGTGAGGTTGTTGTCTTCACACCACGTTGTAAGGAGATTGACGTCCTCCCTGTATTCACACTATGTGTGAATACTACAGTGATTTTTAATCACTATGTGTGAATTCATTTAACAAGCATTTCATACTGTTTGCTAGATAGCTGTTATAAAGGCAAGGACTCCAAATTATACACATTGCATCCAATAAGTTAAAATATTTGATTACAATTATTGTGTTCTTGGTTAATATTACTTTATACTGAGGTTATTATTTTTAATGATGCAATCATATTTTTTATCATACAAAGTTCTGCCACCCTATAGTAGATATAGAGAAAATCTGATAATCGGTTGCTCGGTTTACCAAAAAGTAGATTTTTTAAAATAATTTACCAGAGCATAATTACAGCAACAACTATTAACTTTGAGAAATCATATTTAACCAATGAGAATTGTTATACTAGCATTAAATGGGTGGTTATGTAAGGTGTTTGTATTATTCTCTCATACTTTAAACTATATAAAGTAATACATTACTGACCAAGAATAATTTATATGTTAATTAACAATGAAGGCTAATAGTATAATGTTACTCAGATGATGTGTAAATGTGCTGTTATAAAAATGTAAGGATCTCTGTATTGCTTCAGATAATTAAGAATATGTATTTAAGAACCTCGATGAAGAGGGGATTCAGTGGCTGACGAGATTGCTAAACAATATTGCAAAGGAAGAGAGAATTCTAGAAGAATGGACAAAAAGCAGTATGTTTACCATCTACAAGGAGAAAGGAGACCCAATGGAGTGTAAAAACTATAGAGGAATAAAACTTCTGGAACATGGATTGAAAATCCTGAAAAGACTCAGGAAGATAGTCAGGATCCACAACTCACAATTTGTATTCTCAGCGGGGAAAAGCACAACAGATGCCATTTTTGTGATGAGACAGTTACAGGAGAAGACACTAAAAGGGAAAAAGCTGTATGTGGCCTTTCTGGACTTGGAGAAGCCATATGACCGTGTGCCCAGAGAGGTGATGTATTGGTGCTTGAGGAAGAAAGGAGTACCAGAAAGCATGGTGAAGTTAGTTCAAGCAACCTATAGAGATGCAACTACGAAGATGATAACACAACGGGGAGAGACAAAAGAGTTTGAAATCACAGTTGGAGTACACCAAGGATCAGCACTAAGTCCTTTCCTTTTCATAAACATTATTGACACACTGACAAGAGGTAAGAACAGAAGTGCCTTGGGAGCTCATCTTTGCTGATGATGTGGCACTGATGGCAGATTCAGAAGTAGAACTACAGGAGAAAGTGTTCAAATGGCAGAGGAGTCTGGAAAAGGGTGGACTGAAAATGAACGCAGAAAAATCTGAAATAATGGTAACGGAGAGAGATACTATGACCAATGTTGAGGAGACAAATGGAGGAAAACTGAAACAAGTTGATGGCTTTAAATACCTTGGATCAAAACTGGTAAAGGGAGGAGAAACACTGGAGGCAGCAAAACAAAGAGTGAAAGCTGGATGGAACGAGTGGAGAGAAATAACTGGAATAATCTGTGACAGGAAAATTCCTATAAAGTTAAAGTGCAAAATGTACAAGACTGTGATTAGACCTGTACTACTATATGGAGCTGAATGCTTGGCAGTTGGAAAGAGAGAGGAGAACTTGATGAGAAGAACTGAAATGAGGATGTTGAGATGGATTCTGCAGATTTCAATGAAGGATAAGATCAGAAATGAAGAAATCCGTAGACGATGTAGGGTGGTGGATGTGGTTGAGAAGATGCGAGAGGCGAGGTTATGGTGGTATGGACATATCATGAGGAGGGACGTTGAGGAAGTAACAAAGAGGGTAATGGAATTTGAGGTGGAAGGTAACAGAGGAAGAGGCAGGCCTAGAAAGAGATGGATAGATTGTGTGAGAAAAGATATGGAGGTATGTGAAGTGAGTGAGGAAGATGTGCTCGATAGAGACAAGTGGAGAAGAGCAACTGAAGCAGCCGACCCCAGGACAGTCTGGGACTAAGGCTGTGAAAAAGAAGAAGAAGAAGAATTAAGAATATGTATGTTGCACTAGTTGTGGACATAAGAGTCAGGTATTTTGGAAGCCTTACAGTTAAATTACAGTGAACATAGGTTTCTAATATTTCTGACAATTGTCCGGTTTCCTGCCAGTCTTGGTCCTTTGTTGTAGTGAAGCAGCAAAGAAGGGCTGTAGTCTGGGTGCTGGGACTGGTTCACATGAAGTATGTTCTCCCCGTGTTAATTCAGCATTCCAGTTTCCTTCCACAGTCCAAAGATGTACGGGTAGATGAATTGGCTTCTGGGAAAACTGGCCTTGGTGTGTGTGTTTGTGTCTTGTCCAGGGTGTATACTGTCTTGTCCCCATTTCTTGTTGGGATAGGCTCCAGCTCTCCCATGACCCTGTGTTGGATAAAGCGGTTAGAAAAATGATGGATGATTCACATCATAGTAATGGGGATGAATATGAATTATAACTTGCATATAGAAATTTGATTTGTTCATCAAAATTAAAACCACAGGAAAACAAAATATCAAGTTGGTTCAAAGAAGTATTTTAGTTTACACTATTTATGTGCTATGCCTAGGCTCCCATCAATTAATTGTCGAACCGTGTGACAGAGTGGCTAATGAGTTTTTCTGTTATTTCCGATGAGAAATGTAAACAAACCCATTATGCATCTGTCTTTTCTATTCAAACAAATGACAAATAGCTTTTTTCGTAATTGATATTAAGTGGCAGGCGTATGTATAATAATAGCTGAATTCTGATCTTCATAATTTCATACTTGTTGGCTTGGCCCTTCTGCCGATTGCCTTGAGTCTTTTCTCAAACTGTTACCTTATTAGGAACAATGGATAATTCATCTTGGAGGCATGGTGGCACAGTGGTTAGTATTGCTATCTTGCGATACTAGGGCTCTAGGTTAAGTTCCGGGTCTGGTATTGGGTTTGTATGTTCTCAGCGTGGTTCTCGGGGTGCTCTGGTTTTCTCCGCTGTCCAAGAACATACTGGTAGTTTAATTGGTTTCTGGGAAAATTGGCTCTGGTATGGGTGTGCGAGGGTCTATGTCCTCATGTACCCAGCAATGAACAGGCATCCCGTCCAGGGTGTACCCTGACGTCTTTGGCTCTGGCTCACCCTGAAACCCTGAATTGGGTGAAGTGGCTAGAAATTGGATGGATCGTTCATCCCCGTACCTGATATAAAAAAACACCAATGGTTCTTTGACATTTACATTGATTCTATTGGGCTAACTAGGTACATACAGTAAATGTTTGTATTAACATATTTGCTGGTTGCTATAGTGTGTGGGGCTAAATGGGTAGAACATACTCAAAATATGAAAATAAACTCATTTTTTAACCAGACATAATCCTGATGTGACTAGCTGCAGCAGGAGGTTCAAAAGTTTACCATGCACAGAACTTCCACTTCCTGCTTGACTTTTTGATGCAACCAGGCAACTCTGTTTTGATTCAGAAATGAATAGTTGTTTTCATCATTTGTAATGACTAATATTTAATATGCTTTTAAATTCAGCATATTTCAAATTTATTCTTGGTTTGTTTTGCCCTCATCTTCTTCTTTAATGTTTTAGCAACTTTATTTTGCGAGAAATGTAATCATTTACTGCCTGAAGCATTCTGCAGTGTGCAGGTAAACCTGACTGTTGCGGTTCAACAGGCTTGCTGAGGCTAGTACTGGTAGTACCAGATCAACAGCTCTCTGTTGATGTTGGCAGTGTGGTGTCTCCTGTACCATTGTGGCCCCTGAGCCTGCTGGGACAGGCTTATTGGCACACATCAAAGATACCGCATCCGACTTAAATCTCATGCGTCTCTTGCTTCAGCAATTTGTTCTTCAGGGAGTGTCCAACATAGAGTGTAGAGTTGTAGAGATGCATAGATTTCACTGTGAAGTCCAGAGTTTTCACCTCCACAAAGTTTTTCATTGAAATGGCATGTATTGGATGTCCTGGAAGGCTCAAATTTGTGAAATACCAGCATACATGTGTTATTAACAGTTCACCCAGAAAGCATGCATAGACCTATTACAGGCACATTACAAATCATGTAATATAAAAATGTGCTATATTTGGTAGTCCACCATGTTATTTAAACTCTGGTGGCCCATAAAATTTTTACTTTTTTGTGTTTGGATTTTTAATATGCAGTATTGGATCTGTATTAGTTCCAGATTTAAACCATTGTGCTCTTTAACAAATTACATTCTAGGATGTAGCATGAGGAAATATTTGGAATAGTCATCCTCAGAAATTAATGAATACTCTGGTTGTATTGTAATCTGGTTTTATTACACTTCACTTGTATTGGCTTGATTTTGCATTATACAAGTTCAATCCAAATGTATTGACTTTTTTTTAGCTTAGTGAGTATGCACACTTACCTCTTAGGATACACGTTACTGTGATATTTTTAGGGACTGCATTCATCCATTCGGTTTATGAAAGCGCCTTTAATCAAGAATCTGCCTTATTCTTTCTAAGAATCCCGTACCCTCTACAAGCATACACTGGAAACAAATGTCAAAGACTACCTTCTCTGAACATCAATTCCAAAAGTTTGATGCTCACTTACATCAGGAATCAGTGGATTTTTTATTTATGATCATAAGTAAAAATATTCTGTATACTGTGATTACAGGGCACAAAAGACACAAACTAATCCGTTTTTTTTGTTGTTGTTGTTGTCGTCTAGGCGCTATCTTTGATAGTTCTGCCATTTATTCCAGCTTCAAATTTGTTTTTTCCTGTGGGTTTTGTTGTGGCTGAGAGAGTCCTCTATGTTCCCAGCATGGGTTTCTGTATTTTAGTAGCACATGGATGGAGGAAAATTGCCCAGAATGGGTAAGTAAAAGTTTCTTTGTCATTTGAGTGCATGTAATAGGTTAATTTATTATGCCCAGATTTATTTTTTCCCTCCCAACACCACTGATTTGGTGAACCTTAACTGTTCCATCACATTATCAAAAAATAGTTTTTATACAATTTTTGGCGAGACTTTAAAATTAGTGCTTAATGGTATTTGCCATAGTAAAAAGTAAAAATCAGGTACTTAGGTTGCCTTATAGCAAATAGCATAGTCCATAATAGACCCTGTAACTTGAAGATTACAAGTTTTAAAGTGATGTCTGCAAGGTGAACTTTGTTTTGGTTTCTGTACACTGTGCTTCGTAAATGTAGGCTTTTCTTTTTCTTCAAAGTCCAGAGTGTCTGCTTCTGCCCAGGTTACAATGCAAAAAGACTGATTTCATATAAGAGTCTCAGAGGACAAAACATTTAATTTCTTCTCAAATCTGTAAGAATGTACATTAGAAAAGTCAGCTTGTTGTTTCAGTTTGAAATACAATACAAATGGAAAAGAGAATTTTAAAATATTTGTTTGCATTTTGTTAAATAAGACAATTACATTTTGTAACATGAATAGAACTTAGTGTAATACAGGGTTTAGATCATTAGTATTATACAGTACATAATCAGTTTTGGTGATGTCTATTTACATTTAGGGATACATTAATATTTTTTAAAAATGTATTTTTTGCATTTTCCCTTTTTCTTGATTATAGTAATCTGAAAAACATTGCCTGGCTTGGTGTGGCCATTCTGCTGGCATCCCATGCAGTCAAAACAGTTCATAGAAACTGGGATTGGGAGTCAGAGTACACGCTGTTCACTTCTGCTTTAAAGGTATACAATACTTTAACTTGGAGTGTTTGCTTTAACTTGCTAAGTAAAATACGGGTTTTGTATTCATAAAGCTCGAATACTAGAAGTAAAGCAGATTTGCAACATGAAATTAATATATAATTATATATCCAGTTTACATTTATATTACAGTATTAATACTATATTTTGTTACTGTTTTATGTGTCATCTTTGTGGAAACTTTTATTTTGTGTACAATCCAGAATGTTATGACATTTTAAAATTATATTCCACAGGGACTCATTCAGAGCATCTGGAAAATGTACCTGTCCATTAGCATGTCTTCTAAATGTGGTGAAAGCCACCTATAATGATGGAAGCACATTTCATATTACGTTTCCGTTCAAAAGCAAATGTAGGTTTTATTCATGGTCAAAGTTGCTCCTGTCACTGTTGTACAAAATTGTACGCAACCAGTAAAACTGAAACATTGATACCGTTTCATGTTTGGAAAACTGTTTACATTCATATGTACACAATAATTGCAGTGTACAGCATGATGTACGTAATCAAGAGAAGCCTGCGTGTTTCTTAGCTGGAGGCCAAACAATATTGTTTGTAGTTTCTAAGCTGTTTCCAAGTGTCTTACGTAGGTAGTACTTAGAGCACTTAGTACTTAAGTGTTAAAGTGTTATTAAATAAATACTTATAAATAAAAACTTTTAACACAATGATTACTGACAGCTTGAAGAACATGCCAGTGTGGTACCTTCATATAAAGAAAACAAGAGTTGTTGGATAAAAATACTTTTTTTCAAGGGAGTGGAGGTGACCTGAGCAGAACCTCTGTGTTCAGCTGCCGTCACTGTTATCCGCAAATGTCCTCTGCCTAATTTGTTTTTACAGTGAGTTGAAATGTACTGTTCATTTAGTATACACATATCCTGAACTCTTATACCCAGTTACATTTTTGTTCAGGATGTTAATCATTCAAAACAGGACTGGTATAGCTCAGTGATTTTTATAATTTTTGTCAGTTTACAAAGAATTTTCAGCATTTTCAAATGCAGCTTTACTTTTTCATGTTCTGAATAATTGCCATAATTATTTACTATGGCAATAGTAACTTTTGTTTTAGAACCATCAGGACAAATTTGATTTATAGTCAGTGTTTCATACACTGAACATAAGATGTGGTGGAATTAAATACTTTTTAGAGAGAAATGTGTTCATTTACATGATATTGAGGGGAAGGTCTTGGTAATGGAAGTCCCTTTTTTCAAAGCAGAGAGGTATATTTTGTGTTTGGAATTGAGAAGTTCTCAGATGTACTGGTACTTTGGATGCAATATGTCATAGCTAATGTATATATAATTATTCTGATGCATGTAAGTAAACCATCTCTTAGGTATAATGGATTTAAACAAACATATTAAATATACAAAAAAAGTGCAAAAAGATTAACAAATCATACATTTACAATATGAAATGTGATAAACACAGTAAAAATCAATTAGTGTTGACTACGACCTTCCTGGTCATTAATACAGTCTTGGCAGCCCTGACACGTAGTCCTGACCAACCTCTGGATAGACTGCTTTGTTATGTTCTACCACTTTTCCTGTCCATCTACAGCCAGCTGGCTAGATTCTCCACTTGATAGCATTATTGATTTCAACGTCCCACAGGCATTCTATTGGACTCAAGTCAGGAGAGAAACATGACTGTGGAATAGCCTTAACATTGTTTTCTGCAAGTTGTACCAATGTAATTCTAGCAGTTTGTGGTCTTGTGTTGTCCTGTTAGGAAACAAATTCTTCATATTAGTTTATGGCAACGGAAAACTATTGGTTTGAGACCTTTGTAAGTGTATTTCTAAACGAGAAGGTCGTCTTCAATCTATACTGAAAGCACTTTTGTGTAAAAGGGGGTTTCTACCTATGTCATATGTCTACTGCCACACAAGTTGACTACAGTCAGTGTAATGTTCACTGCGTCACTGTGGGTAGCTGCGACAGCATGTATAGTCTGCAAAAGAGAGAAAACGCAATATTTCGGCTGTGGAGACTTCTTCTGGTGTGACACCTGAAGAAGGATTCATAGCAAAAATGTTGTGTTTTCTCTTTTCTCTTTTCAGCATGGAATAAATCTATTACTTGTTCCTTTGCATATTATTTTTATACCAACTGTTTACTTCTTATACCAGAGTTTAGATAATTGATGTAAATTATAAAAAGTAAGCATAGAAATGTTCCCACACTCATGATCCTCTCACTCCAGTCTGAGGTAACTTCTACTATGAGTACATTCTTAACCACGTTTTTGTATTTGGGTGCAAACATTAGCACGGACATTTTCTTTAAGTCCAAATATAGGCCTATTATGTCTTGTGCCCTGAAGTCATTTACTGCACTTCCTTAAAGATATCTAACAGGTTAGGCATGATCTACCTCTTCAAATTCATGTTATCTGTTAGAAGACAGATTTAATTTCCTTGTTGCACCAAGAATTGATATTATTCAATCAATAACCTAAATAATGATATAGTTCCCAATAAGCTTTGGTTAATGTAAAACTGTTACCTGTGTATCACGTAGGTTAATGTTATCTGATTGTCAGGATCTTAAATAACAGTTTTACTTTCTTTCATAAGAGATTTTGGTTCAGATATGAATGCATGCATAATCTTTCTTTTAGGTCTTTGGTTTGTTGACAGGAGATATGCACATTTTGATAAGATCAATATTGCATTTACTTGGAAGATTTTTAAAGTTCAACATGTTCTTATATTTCTTAATTTCTTCTTTAAGGTCAATAAAAATAACGCCAAACTCTGGAATAATGTTGGTCATGCTTTAGAGAACCAGAACAATTATGAAAGAGCTTTGAAGTATTTTTTGCAAGCCACAAGAGTTCAGCCAGGTAAGATTTATCCTAATTTTTACTGAACAGTAAAAAAAACAAATGACAGGCATCTAAATTTGTAATCACATATGACAGAAATTGTATTTGGGTCTAGTAGTAAAGCTAATTTCAGTTTTTCATTACTACAGTCTGCACATAATCTGTGCTGATGCATTGATTAATTGTTATTATTAATTTATCCAAATAAAGCATTATCGCATTATAATAAGTTTAAGTGTTGGAATCCTTGAGTGTTTTCCAGCAAAACACTTATGATGCATGATTGTTGTGAAAAAAATGAGTGTTTAGTCTTCTAACACAAAAGTTTTGTTTTACATAAACACTTTACATAAAGGAAATAAAAAGTTTTATAAATAACTTACAAGGAGACTGTAACCTTGTTTTGGGAATATCTTAAAGTTAACTGAAGTACTTTTTAAGTGTTTTTCGGTTCTGGAATTGAGGTTTGAATAGGTTTGTTGAGATGTAAGTATTGTTTTGGCCAGCAGAGGGAAGCTGTGTATTTTGTAATGTTTTATTTGCGTGGAGGGAGTATGTGCTTTTTCAAACGTCTGGTTTAACAGGTAAGAGAAAAATGAATGTCATAAAAAAAGAGGAAAGACTAATCAAAAAGGAAGTAATGATTGTGGTAGAAACTTTTTGAAAAAATTTGCAAGTAGCATTTGTTCCCTGGGTAGTTCCTTTTGTTTAACTTTTTAAAAGATGAAAATGCTAAGAAAACATTTGGATCTAAATGAAAAATGAGTCTGGCGAAGTGGTGAAGTTGTAGGTATTGTCTTTACTTTGAGAAAAACTGTATTTGCATCAATAAAGCACAGACATGCATAAATGTTGTTTTCGTAGACTAAGTTCAAGTTTGTCATTATATTCATACACGGGTATATTATATAACAAAATGCTATTTAGCTAGGTCTCAGGCGGTAAGTAGTGCGAACAACAATACAAGCATTGACAAAGAAGAGAAACTTGAAAAAGATGAATCTATGTTTAGTCATTCATGTTCTTTAAAGCAGGGTTTTAGTCGGTATTTTGTGTGACTGAGAACTTCACAAGATCTTTCTCAGAGACCTCTGTGTATACCCATCGGACCCTTGATTAAGATTAGGTCTACACAGCAGATTGTTCAATCAAGCTAGGCTGCTCTGGAATCTCAAGGAGGTATATGAAATGGGATATGAAGGATAATGATGGTGAAATAGTACTTGCTTGTGATTGTGTCCTGTACAACACTTGCTGACACATTCTGATATCAATTCGATCCAAGCCTCTTTTATGCTCAACTTCTCTCACAAAGGACAAACACCTTGAGATAGGTGGGATAGAGAGATATCTCATGTCTGAACCTGTGAGTTCCCATGACTTTTTTCCAACAAATAATGCCACCAAGTAACAAAATGTGTCCATTTGATGTCAGTGTGCACAATGTGATCTCTAAAAATTAAAAATTGGTATATGAACACTGTTGATATAAAACCACATAATCAAAAGGAGACCTAATTTATGGTGAGCAGTCTTTAAAACAAAATTATTTTAAAAATACACACTAATACACATTGCGTGATTTATTTGCATGGCAGACTGGTTTGATGTGACTTTGACTTTTTTTACATTTTATTTAGCTCTTGAAGAGTATGGATCAGATGAAACAATCACAATACTTGGACTGATAAAGACAAAATATAATCCTATAGGACAAATAATTTCTTAGAATTTAGCTGTGAAATTTTTGAAAAATTAAATGCTTCCATTTGTATAGTGCTCTTCATTCTCTAGGATGAAATCCCGCTACACAACTGCTTTACTAGTGAACTTAAGAGTAAATGTAAAGAAAGCTAGTATCAGAGTGTCAATGAGGAATTTAAACCAGGGCACTTGGTCTAAAACCCATTCAAAGGAAACAAGTGGTGTCCTACCTCCAATATATTTATATATTTAAATAAAAGTTGTCTGGATAACAGTATTAGACACACTCTGTTTCTTAATTCTGTCATAAAAATTGAATTAATTAAAATTTTGGACATGTATGTTTGTTTTGTTGTGCACATCCGCTAATACCAGCACATGTTGTGTATCTATAGTAATAAAAATGGAAAAGGGGTTCTAAAGATAAAGGCTTTTGCTCATTTTATAAAAAAATCCAAAAGTTAATGCAAACAAATGTATCTCAGTCTCCACCCAGCGTTATATAATAGTTTTTTTTGGTCGTAATTAGACATGCAAACAAAATATATCAAACCTGAAGATTGATTGAAACGTGGGAGTCGTCACTGAGAAGTGCTCAGGGGCACAGTCACACCAGTCACATCCAAAAGTGTGTTAGTCACATGCATCAAAAAAAATGCTTTTATTACAGGACATTCCCAAAACATTTACACCCTGTGTGCATCTGACACAGAATACTGGCAACAGTCTTCAACTAGAACCACTAATATGGTGTTGCATACATTTTGTGTGCAGGGTTAAAATGGCTTTACTGGTGTGCGGTGTTTTTAGAGAAAGAGAATTAGTCTCAAGTTAGCATCACATTCAGAGCTACTGTCTATCTTGTTTAATTCTGTATTGCTTCTAAAGGTAACAAGTGGGACTGATTTTGTTTGAGAGAAGAGTGTCCTAGAAAATAGACTAAACCCCTTGTGATGACAGTTTGTTCAACTGGTGGAGGGGAGAATAAATCAGTATTACATGGCACCCTATAGGTAATAAGGGGTGAGCAGAGGCTGAGACGTACAAAACAGAAAAACCCGGGAGGGAGAAACCTTCCTTTTATACTGACACTTACACAGGAATGTGAGAACCTCTTGTTCATTTGGGAAGATCAATGGCTTGGCGCCCTTATATGAATAAAGGAAATTGTTCTGCATGAATAAATTGCAACAAGTGCAACAAGGTAGAGGTGACCTTAGTACTCAGATAAGTAAAACATGAAATTGTTACTGAACAGAAATATCGAATAGAACAGAAATTGTTATAGAGGTGGTTTCTAGGTGTATGGAATAACCTAGCACATTAAAGGAAACTGCATTCATAACTGGATTAGATTTCTAAAGTTAGCAACATTTTTTTTGGAGCTGGTGTACTGCATCAAATAATAGAAATTATATCAAATATGTTTAATCAATAACCAAAAGCCTTATGTATTTTTTTAAACCACATGAATAGGTAGGTTAATAAAATGCTTTTCATGCTCAGTACACTTTACTCTGGTTTCCTACTGCAGTTATAGTTTCTAGTCAAATATTCTATTCAGAAGCAATCTATTAATCATTATTGTTCTATGTAGAAGCAAGGATAGTGTAATAGTCCCCAATTGCTTTTTTCTAAACTTTTATGCCCTCCGTAAAGAAGACCTCTTTAAAGTAAAATGTTCAAATGTCAACTTTTCTGAAATAAAATCAAATAAGTAAACAACTGAGTCATAATCAGATTTAAAGACTGGTTATCTGTGGAGGTAATGTAAAGTCTCATATTGAATGGAACCTGAACATCAAGCTGTTGTGGAAGGTGAATTCAAGGCATGTGTATTTTCCTTGATAAAATATTTTTTATTTAAAGATGTTTTAAACAGTATAGTGAAGAACAGCCTACCCCCAGCTAATTTGGTATTTCTAACAAAAAACATGTTGTATAAAATAAGCATATTATACACTTAATGTGAAACTGATAACCTAAGAAGATGAAAAAAATATTTATATTTATATCACTGTGCAGTAATATATCAGTAAAGGAACAACCAATGTGACTGGTGTGACTGAACTGGTGACACACCTGAAGAAGGCTCCACGGCCGAAACGTTGTGTTCTCTTTCTTCTTTTTTTTCAGCATGGAATAAACCTATTACTTGTTCCTTTGCAGCCTACCCATGCTGACGCAGCTACCCACCTGAAATATATCAGTAAGCTGCACTTTTCATAAAACACAAAGTTAGAATGCACTTTAACATTTCAGCATGAGCAATTGAGTAAAACAGCAGTGTGAAAGTCTGTTGTGATCCTTCTTATGAAATGCAAACAAATAAACCAAGATGTAAACCACACACCCATAATGCATTTCATTCTGCTGGAGCTGCTGCGATAGTGTGATAATATAAAGTAGAATATACAGTATCAGTGGGCACTGTAACAGGAAGAGAAGCACTGGAATTATAAGGGGCACTAAGTAAATTGAAAGAAAAGGCTTCAACATAGATATTATATAGATATTCTCCTCCCCACTGTTAGTTGATGTGTGGTGAGCATTCTGGTGCACCATGGCTGCCATCGCATTATCCAGGTGGGGGATCCACATTGGCCCTTTGAGTGGAGTGTCCAGAAAAGCGTTACATAAGTGTAAACAAGTGTTGTTGTTGTTGTTGTTGTTATTACATGGTTGCAGATATGGCATAATTAGGTCAATAAAAGCCCTTCTTGCTTAGAGTCATGTATACAATTTTTGGACAGACGTGGTTGCCTGTAATTATGGCTATTGTTGCAAGAAAAGGCCTCAGTGAGTTTGAAGGGGCATACTCCAGGATCCATGCATTAATTCAAAGTGCAAGGCAGAAAAAGTGAGCAACTGCATATCAGTTGACTGCAAATTTCAACACTGGGCTTTAGCAGCCAGTTAAATCAAAACAATCTGCCGACAGTGCAAAACTGTAGTGAGGTGGCAGTGCACAAACCGTACATCAGACCTGAGCACAGGCAATGAACTGCCAAGTTGTGAAGAAATGTGATCTAGTAAGATAAATCATCCTTAATCATGTTTTATACCAGGAGTTGGCAAACTGCAGCATGTGTGTCATTATTGGCACACAAAGGGATTTTAATGGAAGTGCAAAGAAAGTGGAACATACAATAAAATATATAAGCCATGAATATATTAAGTAAACAAAGTCAAACATTGTAAAAGTGTTGAGGTTTTACTATGCTTTATGGATTGTCTTGATGCAGTCAAAATCTTTTTGTTAGAAAAATGTCAGAACTACTTAGGAATGCTCGATGCAAAGTGGGTTGAATTTCGTCCCAGTATTTTCTTTTCTAATTAAACCACACAGCTCTGATATCGGCGGTATGGATTTTTTGCCGTTTCAGTGGATGGGTGTTGAAAATTTTGAAATGCACCACTGTAAATTTGGCTTCAGTTTTCAATTTGTGGAACTTCAATAGTATCTTAAGGAAACCACCTAAAGATGTCACACCTCTTACATTATGTTAAGGTTGATTTGTGAATGTTTTTACAACTTTCACTTGATTATTTAAATGACTATTTCTTTGTGAAGAAAATAGATTTCAAACCACTGATGTTTAAGGATTTTTTTTCAGGATTTTCTATGACCATACCAATACATTTACAATACAAAATACAGTTTCACAGTCAGTTAAGTCAGTTCTTTGTCCCTCCTTTAACCAGTTAAAAACTGAACATTCAGAGTCTTACGTGCTGCTTAAAGTGTCAGCAAACAAAAGCCAAGGCAAGGATCACACTGAATGGCAAGACTTATATAGGTATTACGTTTAGATATTATATTTCAACACACTTTTTATAAATCAGAATGTAAGTAGGGCTATCATTGACATTAAAAATCTGTAAACCTAACCTATCTGTATGACCTAACTCTTGGCACGCCCTTTCTTAAAAGTTGCCAACTCCTGTTTTAGATTAACAGACAAGTGCATATGTGGCACCAACCTAAAGAACTTGAAAGCCCTTAGTTCTAGCAGTGAAGAGCTCTAAAGTTTCCATACCATTGTGGGGAAAATTTCTAAGCACCCAAACCAAAAGAATAGTTCAGTGCTAATTGCATTTTAATGGTACTAAGTGATCATCTTCACCTCATGTGTCACCTGACAAAAGGGGTATCCTCCAAGATAACAGCAACCCTATCCAAAAAGCACATTTGGTCATCTAAAGATGTTATGAACATGACACTGATGTGTGACACTTCCGCATATGTCATGTGCTCCTTAGTCACCACATCTGAAGCTAATCAAGCCTTTATGAAATATTCTGCAATAGTGCCCGAGACGGTGTTTTCTACATCCATCTGTTAATTGACTTTATATTGGTTATTCCATTCTTTTGTTTGCTACCTGTAGGTACTCTATCACATTTCTTAAGCTCCATGACACTTTCATGTGCTGTATCAAAAAGACTGGATTGGCTACTGTTGTGATCTTCAGCTTGGCACGGTAGAGGAACCTTTTAGCACCAAAGTAGTAAAGGGGTTTCACACTACAGTGAAGCGTTTTCTGCACTCTGCAAAGAGGGCAGTATAAGAACAACAGCTGTAAAACTCCATTGTGCCTTCTGGCTACATGAAGGATGAGCTCTCAGTATAACAGAAGAGTTAAAAGATTGTTTGAGTCCTGTTCTTGCATGCGTCAGAACCAGCACAGATCTTGTGTGCGCTTTCTGTATGACTTCAATGGGACTCTTGGTGGCCAGGAAGGATAATCATTTTGGTCATTTTTTATTAAACAATAAGTGGATCTCCATCTGTGCTCCTTAGCAGGTCATTAATACTCAACAGTATGCAAGTTAGATGGGCAGCTTCTATCCAGATGCGATTAAAGAAAGTATATTTCCTTCTACAACTCTCTGACACTGTTGCAATTCTGGCACTGGGCATCATGAGTAAAATTTTGGTAGTGCAGACAGCTTTAACATCAGAGTTTTCAAAGAGTTCCTGAGGCAACCCATAATAAAATCCTTTACTGAGCAGGACTGTGGATTGGAGATCCTAGTAATCCTTGCAGAAAAGAGCAGTATATGCAGTTTTGATTGCAAGGCAAGAAGCTACCTCCTGGCTTTCATTTCTTTGGTTTTTAATGAAGAACATCATGCTACATTACTCAGAGTCCTGCATAACAAGGGTGTAACCACAAAAACTGCATTCAATGGAAATTTAACTCAGTTTAAAAAATTAGTTGCCGAGTGTAAAGCCTCTTGATAATACTGCCAATGTGATCTAATGATCACATTACTCCTATCCTGGAGTCCTTGCACTGGCTTCTGGTCAAATTCCATGTAGACTTTAAAATCCTCATGTTCACCTATAAGGCTCTGCATGGCTTGGCACCTCAGTACATGTCTGAACTATTATCGCCCTACTCCCCACCTCGCAACCTTCGCTCTATTAATTCTGGTCTCCTAGCTGTCCCCCATGCCCTTCTACATTGTATGGGTGACGGGGCCTTCTCCTGTTATGCCCCCAAGCTCTGGATCTCTCTCCCCAAGGATATCGGAGAGTCGCCTTCTCTAAACTCCTTCAAATCCAGACTCAAAATCTTCTTCTTTAGAAAAGCCTTTACTTACCTGTACCATTCTTCACCCCTCTGCTTCTCTTAGTACCACCATCCACGGACTCCTCTGTATATTGTAATTGTGTTTTATCTTGTGTATTCTTTTTATTTATTGTTGTTGTCATTCTGTAAAGCGCTTTTAGAAGCCACCTTTAAAGGGCGCTATATAAAATAAAGGTTTTTTTATTATTATCCTGGCAGTAAACCTGTTTTTGGCTATGTTGATTTTCAACAATTGGATTAGTTTCAATTTGTAACTGTAAGTTATTTTTTCCTAAAAATAGTTGTGAAATAAGTTGCCGAAAATATTCCGTAACAATGACAGTACCTTTGACAATGATGTTCAAAGTACAATTTGTTCTAGCAAATAGTACATTGGCTGACATTTAATGCAAATTAATGTGATGCTTTTATCCAGTATCATGCCCTGAATACATGTTGACATATAGGATATTTTTCAATGCTATCATTTAGATTCTATTTTAAAATTATTTTAGTCACACTGGCATCTTATATGAATGTGAGGCAGTGTTGTGAGGAACCAATAAGTATAAATATACTGTATATTAAATTTGACATAATATAACAGTTTTGAATATAGTAAATTTGTTTGGTATTACCAATGTGGAAACAGTAAAACTACTAAAATATCATTTAATTCTGTTTCATATTTTTTTCAGTTAAAGTTAACTCTGGTTTTGCATTCAGGTATAAAGTATACATTTAATTTCAAGAAAGTTTATAAAAAATTCCTTCAAAGGTCTCCTACATTACTTTTTTTTACAAACTGTGATAAAATGTTAAAGTAGTTAATTGTAAGTTGACTTCATATTTATGCAAGTACAAAAGGCATGTATTCTAAATTTTTAAACTGGTGTCAGGGCTAGGTAACTTGGTGTCCCATACTGTAATTTTTTTTTTTCCAGCTCCTATCAAAGAAGCAACAAGCAACAGTAGTCCTTTTGTAGTTCATCGCCTCAAGGCTCACTTAACATTCTAGAAATTAAAATTACTTTCCCAGGGTTTTGCAGTGTTATCATACTATTAGCTCACAAATATTGATGTGAACTGTTTATCTTCCCTCCAGATATCAGAGTTCAATCATGCTTTATTATTATTTTATTGCACTGTAATGGTAGTCTTAGTTTAATCTATGGCTGAAAGTGTGAGGAGTTCTAAATGTTAACCTCAATGAAATTATATTGTTTGAAATAAGTGATCTTCTCATGTCTGAGAGTGCTGAAGATGTTAACAGACCTCAATCACCTGTTATGTTCACCACCTGCTATGTATTTGCTTTTAGTTTTATTCAAACTTAAAATAACCCAGTGTATATATTTGAAGTGACTTTGTATAAGTTGCTTATTTAAGAAATTAAGGTATTAAAGTACTTAGGTTTTGCAAATCAGGAAATGGAGTAAAATGGTTGATTTGAAACATGGCCCAGATGCAAAGAAAGTCTGCATCACAGGTTCAAATGTTATATTGAATAATGAATCCTTTGATATGAGAAAATGATTAACCAAAATATGATGGTCATTATTAAAATCATGAGCATTCTGTGGACAGGCTGTTTAAGATGAAATGGCTTAAGTTCTATGTCCCTGTGTCATGAATCTCAGTTTTAGACAATACATATTAAATTGCCCATTTACATCATATAGTGCTAAATTTTGTTGCTTTGCTGTTTGTCTTTTTTAATAATAGTTTGACAAAGTCCCCCCACAAGCCACTTGCACAATGCAATAACGCCACATGATCTTTCCAGCGGTTTTTCTTTTTCTCAAGAGCCTCTGCAAAGACAAAATCATTAAATCAAAAGAGATTAAATCAAAATTCATAAATACAACACACGTAAGTTTTTTAACAAGATGATTTTATGCCAGAGCTGCCCATACTTAACCTAAGCATTACAGATATTATGGATATATCAGTTGTTTATTCCTTTGTTTTTCTTCTTTGTTTTCGTGTTTTCGTCAGTGCCAACATTTTGTCAGTTTCTGTTTTCCAAGTTATGTTCAAATCCCAATTAATGAAAACAGATTTAATGAATTTGGATACTATATTTTGATTTTCAGATGACATTGGTGCCCACATGAATGTAGGAAGGACATACAAAAACTTAAATAAAACCAAAGAAGCTGAAGATGCCTACTTGATTGCAAAATCTTTGATGCCGCAGGTATGTTCTAAAGATGTACAGAACAGGTATTCTAGGAAATGCAGAACATACAATACATTTTGTGTAAAAAAAGGTAATGAAGTTAAATTAATATAATTAATTTTAATTTGTTTTAATGCAAAAATCTGACTTTTGAATGTACCATGTTTTCAGTGAAACAGTGTTCATAAGTTAGAAGATGAAATGGAAAAAAATCAACTTCCCTTCTTTTGGCAAATTAGACTACATTTTCCAAGACAAATGAAAATGGGATGCCTGAGTGGCCCAACAACTAAGACCAACACCTTTATCTGTGTTTGTCTTGATCAATGGTGTAATCCAAACTTGCAATCCAGAATAACTCGATATATGGAATATAACACCACTGCAGTCCCAATTCTGAGCAAATTCACCAGTCTTTCTCAAAAGGAGGTCAGATCTTGATGCACTTAATCCATTTTACAGATGGTGTTAATTCTTGGAATCGGGTCTGTAAGTTTAAAGTTCAATAAGTGAGAATGTTTTATCTGTTATTTTAATGCTAATTATTGCTTTCCTGGCACTTTCAGTTTTGTCCTAATTATGGAATAATTCTTAAAAAGACACAAAATTATACTTTACAATATAGCCAGGTTTAAATATTACATCTCTATCATATATAACGTACTGTATGAAGCACTTACACTTATTTTACTTTAGTTTATCTTTATCTCTTAGCAAATTTCCTTTGTAGCAGCAGTTCATTTCAGACACAAGAAGCAATAGGAGCATTTTTATACTAATCAGGTTGCAGTCTGGATGGAATGCATGTTAGTGCTTAAGATTTGTCATAATAAAATTGAAAAATGTTACTTGAACTTGCATTTTCTGAAACAAAAGGTCAATGGTGTTAAAGCAAAAATCCGTTAAGTAAACACTGGGAAACAGAATCTTGGTTTTAGAAAATGTGCCCAAAGCAAGTTTGTAATTGAAGTTATCAGTTATATTGGTTCTTTCAGTTGCTTTCTGAAAATAAAAAAACAACTTTGCACTCTCTTTAAAATGGTGAGTTTCATTTAATTATAACACATAGTGCATATTTCTACATGCTTCAGCATTGCTCAGTTCATAGTCATCAAATACTTGAGATTAGGCCTGGGCGATATACTGAAAATTTACCGATACCGACGTTAAGAATCTCTCACTGACCTAATTTTGATTATGTTGGTATGTTTGGTAAAAGCTTCCCCAAATGTGTGCTTTCATGAGCGGTCCCCTTAAAAAACTACAAAACTCAGTCGTCATATCCAGACACATGCTTCTGTCTCGTCCAACCTTCGTTCTTCACTAAAAACACAAAGAAGCGTGCCGGGCATGAGACATGAGCACTCATGCTAAACCCCAGTCAGGCAGGGATGACTCAACTACAAATGAAGATGAGCTGGTATCTAAAAAAGATGCATTGTCGATCGTTTGGTCATATTTTGGCTTCAGCAAACAGGATACTGAACAAGAGAAGTCAGATGTAAACTCTGTCGGAAAACCGTTACGCCCAAACGTAACACTAGCAACTTGTTTCATCACTTGAAACACAACACATGTCATGGAATACGAAGAGTGCATGGTCATAAAAAGAGAAACTGACAAGCACACTCATGGCCAAATGTGATTCCCCCAAACAGCTGTCTCTAACACAAGCATTTACTAATGTCACTCAATATGGAAAAGATTCACACAGATGGAACGAGATAACTAACCCCATTACATACTACATAGTGAAGGACATGGTCCCCATAGCTGCAGTGGAACATAGTGATTTCAAAAGACTTGTTCAGACCCTTGACAAGAGATACGTTGTGCTTTCGAGAAAATATTTTTCTCAAACTGAGGAGCCCAATTTATAAGATGTGAAACACTTAGATTTAGTTTGCACTTGATAAATATTCTAAGTTTTATATTTTTCATAAATGTTCATTGTTCGTGTGTTAAAATGTTCATTAAATGTTATTCTGTTTGTGTGGCCATGAATTATGTACTTAAATTATTTGTAAGACATTGAGATAAGATGAGGTGTGTGCAGCTTTAATACTTTTGCATATTTAAATCGTGATCTTTCAACATATCACGTAATCATATAATTTCAAGGGTTTAAAAAATTAATTCATCATTATCAAAGTAAATGTGTGAAATTATTGTGATATTGATTTGAGGTCATATCGCCCAGCACTTACTGTATTAAGATTTAGTAAAAACATTTCAGAAAGTGTTGAAAAACTCAGATTAGCTATGACTTTGCTGTTACAATACTGACTTTAAGATTTAAATTACTTAAGATGGTTATAGTGAGAGCTTTTTGAATACCCTATATTAATACCCTGTATAAGAGTGAAATGGGAACTTGTTGCAAATGCTTTCTAAAGCAAATATTTTGTAGTATTAACAATAATTTCTACACATCTGTGTAAGGAAGAAATGGCTTGGCCTCATTAAAGAATCTGTGTACAGGTTTGAACATGTAGTATGTTATCTCAATGGAAGAGAAAGAAAGATCTGGCAGAGACAGAAGGAATGCTGTACAAGTCGGCTGGTTTTAATCAATATTGATGTCAACTGAACTGTCCATAAATATAACCTTAAAAAGCATTTAGAAATGTTTTTCCCACTAAAAGTGTGAGCATACAGTATGTTCGTTATTTCCCTTAATACCACCAGTCAAGCCTTTTAAATAACAGTGCTATCAGTGTTATCAGAACATTATGTGAAATTTTGCGATGGTTAATTCTTCTGTCTTCTAACGTCTGTAGTCTGCCTTGTTTACTATATATTTGTATATTTTTAATAAACCTAAGGTCAGAATATTCCTCTGATTTGTGTGATATATGTAATTTATGTGTTGGTTAGTATTAAACCAGTATTTTATGTGTATAAAATCTGTTTTTAGTCCATGATTATGAAATAATTTGCATTAACAAACAAAATGGCCTCATTTAATTTTATTTATGAGACCCAAAGAAACATTAAAAAAGGCAGATATTCTGTAAAATATAACTTCTAAATCCTTTCTAGACTTATGCCACTAAAAGTGGTTAAAGCTGTTTAAAATGATTCATTTAAAAAACCTGACTTGAAACCCTGATAGAGGAACACCTTTTTTGGCTCAAGCTTCAACAGCTGGAAGAGCTTCTGAAGACATTTTTTTTCCCCCCTTTGCACTGCTTATCATTCATATTTAGCCTTAAGCATTAGCAGGTTAATATCCCATGGATAATCTAAACAGCTTTTAACTGTGACTGTGACTACTGTCAAGTGATTATGATGGACTTATTTTTAACTTTTTTTTAGAAAATTGGTAATAAGTTTTTAATGCGACAATTTCTGCTTTTATTTTGAAACAAAGGAAGTTTTTTAAAGAATCTAAGTGCATTAATTTTAGTACTGTTTTCAAAAGAAGAGATATCAAAGTAATAAACATTTAGTCTTCTTACTGTTTTAGTATTACTGCAATTTCAAGGTATAATTTTTAAAGTTATGGAAATGCAATGCTAATTGTTTTATTTGAATCTTTCATGTCCAATAGTCAATGAATGGGGACAACCTATTAATACATTGAGATTCTTATAATTCTAGTTAATGGATTGAATTAGAAAAAAAAACTGATCTTTTAGCATAGTTTAAATAATCCACCTACTGTACATCTTTTATGACAAACATGCTCACCAGAATGATGTTGGTTATAACCATATATATGAATTTTCACTCATTTTGCAATGTGGATTTGCTCACTTTCTGTTAGCTTGGATGGGTGGCGTTAGTTTTCAAGTCCTCAGTCTTCAAGTCCTTTCACAGCTTACGAAGAAGCAGTTGAACTGACCACAGGGGGACTCCAAGCTTTAGAGTGATCTTGCAAGGAAATTAAATGAACCTTGGCTACATTTAGAGTGTCATAGCAAAGGAGAAATTGCATTAAACAAAATTCTAGAACTTTCATTCCACTTTGTAATTTGTATAGATCAGAAACAAACATCCCATATAACTCTTTTTATGTGACTTCATAAAAATTGTGAAAAATACAAGTCTGGTGAATACTTTCAGAAAAAAAGTATACTTTACAGTATTTACAGTATTTGGCACGTGCTTGTTATTCATCCTGCTTAGGTGGAAAGGTAATGTAGTAATGGATTATTTGTAAGGAACAGTCTTTTTTGTGAATATACTTTCAACTAGAAATACAAAATTATTAAATTAAAAGTAATAAAGTGAAAAATAATTTACTGTATTAAGCTGGCTGTAGTTATTTAAATATTTACTGTTTCCTTTAATCATGTGTAACATCACTATATTTTGAAGTTTATACTTTATACTAAGGTTATGCATTATACATGTGTGAATAACTAATAACTTATTACATGCAGGTTTCTATTTTTTTTTTTGCATTTGTAGATCATTCCAGGAAAAAAATATGCAACACGTGTTGCTCCTAACCATCTTAATGTTTATATAAACCTTGCAAATTTAATACGGAATAATGAGTCACGCTTGGAAGAGGCAGACCAACTGTACCGACAGGCAATTAGCATGAGACCGGACTTCAAGCAAGCTTATATCAGCAGGTATGACAAATACTGCTCTTCATGAACAATACAGTAGAAAAAAAGAATCATGACGAAGCTGATGAAATTACAACTGTTACATAGCTTTTGGGATTGGTGAAAACAGACTTAGTGTTTCACAATTCCAAACAAACATTAAACACATATAATGGTTTTAAAAAGCAATGGAATTACCTTTGTATTGTCCACACTGTTTAAGTTTAGAAAGTGTCCTTTTTCGGGTATATTTCCACTTCACATCAGAAGTACAAAGCAATCAAAGTGCATACAGTACTTAACCAACAGCATTTCTGTTGATGTGTATCCTGAGCACTTTTTTGTGTTTAGTGGGCTTACCAGGGGTCAGTGTTGTGTGGATATTGCCTAAGAAAAACTACTGTGATAATATATAAAATCACAGGTACTGTATAGCGGCCTGTCATATTTCACAGTATCAGAAGGCAATAATAGTTACAAGTTCAACAAATGTTAGCAGATAAGGCAATACATCTGTCCTGGCCTCCATAAGATGCAGTGCTGATTGGGAACAGAATTGGGAACCTACCCCAAGCCTATCATGCTCAATATCCTGAAATCATTTCATTGAAATATGAAAATTTCTGGATCTTCATTGAGGATAGATAGCAATGGAAAAGTTAAGCAAAAAACTTCTATCACATCAGGTAGTTTCTTCCCGTCCAGTTTTCAACCCTTTAGGTAAAAAAATACTGCAGGCACTTTTCAGTGCTTCAATGAAAAGGTCTTAAGACGCTTGGGGAAAAAAAAACTTGTTTTATATAGATTGCTGACGTGTCTCCATGCCACCACCCTTACCCTGAACCTCATGCAATAAAGGTCTTTAAACATGACCTCAAATTCCTGAGGAGCTCCAACAAGGCACAGGATTTGAGGCCTCAGTCAGGTGCGGTGTGCCCTCTGATTGTATAGATTGCAGCACTAATCACAATGGGCATTTAGCAGGAGCGGCAGATGAATGTCAGGCACACATACAAAAGTGTCAAAAAAGTGGCTAGTGGTGGGGGAGGGGTGATGTTGAGCACATTAATGTTAAGACAAAACTTGCTATTTTTCTTTCTTATTCTTTAAGTTACTTTTATTATTTTTCAGCCCTGAATTCCATGTAACTTTAGGAGTTATCTAGTATGCATTTTGCAATATTTTGCCTCCATATATCTTTTGCTTCACCTTCACCTTCACACGCATCAGACAGTAATATAACTGCAGCAGATAACCCAGGCAGATCAGCTCTCAAAGCAGCTATAAATTCTAATTCTAAATTCATTTTTAAGATAATTTTGTTTTTAACGTGGGCTGAATTGCGGTCGTACATTTCTGCCTTACAGTCTACAACCCAACCACAGAATGACATCAACATTTGTACACATAGTTTTTTTTTTTGTTTTACTTGCATTTCTTTTCCCATTTGTTAGACCTAGTCATTTTAATTTGCTTTTATCTTATTGTACCCACATAATTATTCCTCTTAATCTCTAATGTATATACCTTTTCAAATTATTTTTTGTTTAAAATGACTAAAGCTGTTTTTTATCGTTTGCATTCCTTGACACCCATTTCCTTGTCTTCTGAAAATCATGGTCATCAAGAGCGGTCACCAGATGCATTTTACCCTGTGCTAGGTAGTCAGTACTTTAAAGTTCATATATCTATAATCTTGCAGCATATCTTTTGGCAGATATGCTGATACACAGTTCATGCTGAGGTTTGTTGTTGTGTGGAAGTGGAAACTTGCCTTCAGATGACATTGGATGTGTGCTAAGAAGCATCGTAATGGTCTTCCTTGTGTTTTGCACTACTAAAATATGAATGCAAGAAGTGGGGTCAAATCTTAATCAGATTATGTGATAACTGTATTAAATGCCAATAAAAGCATATTGAATGTAAATAATCATTTTAAACTAAATTAAAATTGAACTGAGTTGAACTTAATATAGGATTCATTAATAAACTTTTAAACTTGTATTTCTCAACAGAGGAGAGCTTTTGCTGAAAATGAATAAACCAGTAGAAGCAAGAGATGCCTATCTCCGAGCCTTAGAACTAGACAGAACCAACGCAGACCTCTGGTACAACTTAGCAATTGTAAACATTGAAATGAAGGAGCCTTCTGAGGCACTGAAAAATTTCAACAATGCTTTAGAGTTAAGCCCAAAGCACAAATTGGCACTCTTCAATTCTGCGCTTCTAATGCAAGAGTCTGGTAAGTAATCTGTTAATTTTATCAGCACTTTGAGAATCATTAGATTGGCACTGTTTTTTTGATTGAGAATCAGTAGATTTTGCATTGATCTGGTATGAGATTTGCTAAACATACTTTGCATCCTCTCTTTCAACCATGTAATTATGTGATGGATCTCTTTCCTAAATGGAAAACTATGCATAACAAACTACTGATAGCAGTTCAACTGCTACCATTTGATTTGGTTAATTTTAATTTTGTTTGAAGACTAAAGAAGTGGTGTTTTCTTTGCCAACACTTTGCTTTTCCTTTAGGACAAGTTACTGCAGAAATTAGTAGAATATGTGGCAGAGCCTGTATTTTAAATAGTCTTGTTTAATTTATCTCTGTTGCATTCAGCATGGGGAGGAAATGGCTTTGAACCTATCAAATAATTTGCAAACCCTGCCTCACACTTGGTATAATCAAGCCTTATCTGTCCATCAAAGCATACCAGGGTGAAACTTGGGTTTTTCAGTCTGGTACTCGAGCACAGTGAGTCAGTTTGTCTGGTTACTTCAACGTGCTCTATTTGCTGGATCACAGCTGGGTTAATCCTTAGACCCGTGCCTTTTCAAGCTGTAATTGGGGAGTTCCCTGGAGATAAAACCAAGTTTTGTTAATATCTTTTGTCTTCTGTAAATATTTTCTGGGCATTTAATAGCATTATTCACTGTATCTGCACTTTATTTTTTCATGTTTCACATTTTGTGTCTATTGAGTGTACCTTTTGACTGCTGTAAAGAGGTGTAGTCTCTGTATCTAATCAAATATATCACTTATTACTATAATAGAAACAGTTATCAGAAAAAAAATCTTCTTCCTTTCATAGGGCCTGTGTATACATATGCCCGCTCACAGGTTTTCTAAGCTCTAGATGCCACATGTCCCGGCTTATCCCATTACAAATATTGAATTGGGTTCGAGTCTGGTGAGCTAGGCATCCATGTTAAAACAGAATAATATGTGCATTACTCTTCTGAAATGCTGTCAGGTCAAAGTGAGACTACAGAAATGCCAGCAAGTGAGGTCGTAGGACTTGATCAACCAAGTGCTGTGCAGTTAAATTACCGACAGTCACTATGAAAGGAGTTCTGTAGCAAAGAGCCCTATCCAGAGCATAACACGTGGACCTCTGCATCAATTGGTCTGTTGTACACAGCAATTTAAATTGTGTTCTGTATGTCAGCAACACAACATTGACATCCAAACTGTGATTCATTTCCAAAGAGGACTTAGCTTCAATAGTGCTGATTCCAACCGAGAGAAGTTAGAGTAGCCTCCGATATAAAGATGACAGTATTTTCATCAAGTTTTACATTCACCTGTACCAAGTCAACTTACACTAAAGTGGTGATTGTGTTTATGCTACAAATAATGCATTAACCTACTTGAAAAGCTCTGGGTGGGAGAATTTCAGTTATGAACATGTTTTTAAATAGAAACTTCTGTCATTTTGTTTCTTCTCCATTTTTAATTGACTGACTGGTATATTAAGTCAAGTAAAATCAGAGCATAACTTGAATATAATACTCGAATTACATTGTTTTGACTTATTTAATGTTCACATCATATCAGAACTCCTAATGTTCTTTTTAACACATTTCAATCTGCTGTATATGACCAAGATTTAAAATTTAATTTAGTTTTTATATATTGAAAAGATCGATATAAACAGTATTATTTTAAGCACATTCTGTATCATAGCAGTAGCATTATGTTGTCAATATGCATTACATATGTCTGTCAGATTTTCTATTGCTGTAGAATCAGCATGTGACTGGAGGGTGAGTTTTGTAACAGAAACTATGTGAGTGTGACTTATTTTTTCATGAATTCCAGCTTTGCTAGAATATGCACATTGAAAATGCCTAAGGATTCTTGTGGTTGCTGTTTGATTAACCATACAAGTCATGACTAGTTGACCATTTATTTCTGTGTTAGACTAATTTGACAGATGTGGTTTAGTTATTCCCTTGGGGTCTGAATGCATTTTAGAGTTTCTTTTCTTAACAACATTTGTAACGAGAAATAAGGTATAATGCTAATTTCACACTGTGGTTTTTATTTCTAAATATTAATATAATCTTTAACCCATTTGTCTCAACACATGTGGAAACCTTGTTTTGTTTGGTTTATGATATTTTACCTGAGTTTTCAACTTAACCTTAGGAGAATAAATTCTCTAGTATAAAATAAAACATTTTAGACATTACAGTTTACTATATTCCTAACATTCACTGTTGTAGGAAGAAGAGTATAAGAACTAAATAAACTTGGCCCAGTATAAATACTGTCAACTCCTTGAAAGTAAAAAACAATTTGAAAAATTGTTTCCGGAGCTAAAGTAATCATGTAGCATATATTACATAATAAGGAGATAAAATGCAGCTGTCAAAAAGCAGTAAGTTCTGTGACTTAATTTCAGTGAATGTGTCACTTGGGAGATGGTAATCCTCTGTTCTGGAGATTGTTCAGATATATAAGTTGATGAACAAGATATGTTCATGAAGTTAGAGTTCAGTTTATTATTGTTGTAGGAGAAATTGATTTTCTTTAGAATGTAGCCCAAGGTGAGCTAAAAATCTTCCTTTATTTTTTTTTTAAATTTGATTTAGTAAACCCATATCGAATGTGTGATTGAAGTTGTAAAATTCTTGTAAAAAAGTTACCTGGAAAAAGAATGTGAAACTAAATATTATATGTTAAAACTGTCTCTTTTTTAGTTCATATACTTTGCAATTGTTAATTATGTTGATTTTTTTTTTCTGGTATTACTCAAAATGTAATATAAAACATCATAAAAAATATATTGTAAGTCTGAGTAGATTTAATTATAGTGATATATCTTAATCCCTCAGGTATTTCTTAAATAGCTAATAATAAAGCACAATTTATAAGGTATCTGTTTCATCAGAAATAATGGATGCATGTAGTTGGGACAAGTCAAGTCACAATAATAAAATTGCATTTAAAAAAAAAAGTAATGTATCATGAATGAATAACATTGTTCACTCTTATGTTAGGAGTTATTAGATTTGACAGTTTAATTTATTTTCTCTAAAAAATTCTGTGTGAATCTTAAATTTAATCTCTTAACTGGTTGGTCAAGTAAGTCCTAATGTTAACTAACGTACTTGGCCAACCAGTGAAATGATGTAAATGAAAAGAGCAAAATGCCATCTGTTCAGTTTTAGGAATATATATTTATATTTTTAGAGCAAACAACAATAGCTTTATCCACAACTTATATTTTGCATTGGTAAGGTAAAAAGAAATTAACATGAACAAATATGCATTCATATTTTAGGTTTACCTTCCAGAAAAGAGTAGGGATGTCATATAAAGCATGAAAAGCAGTATGGCATAGAAGTGAAGGAATTCCACAGTTGTTACACATAGTTCTGTAATTGTTCTTATGCAAAAATATGTTTGCTAGTTTACTCTGTTAATACTGATACTGTTCCATATGTTGCTAAGTTTAAAAAAAAAGTTGTTTTTTTCTCAAAAGGGATGTGTAACACAAAAACAAAGAATAACATCTCTTTTTTACGCTCACTTTCTTAACATCTCACTCTTTTTGTTTTCTACCTCTTTGGAAATGCCAGTCATGAAACCTTTCTTTGGTTATCATATACCCCTGTCTTCTTGTTTATATTGCATCTGAAATTAGAGTAACACATTGTCATTTTCATTTATTTAACTTTACTTTAAAGCAGCTTTTCAATTAAAGTTCACTTCATGTTTAAGCACATTAAGATGTTCAGTAACCATGAGCTCAGTAAGAAAGAAGATAAAGGGAGTTGTCCTACAAAACCAGGGTAGACATAACCTCTACAACAGCTCCACATTTTTTCACATTTTAGATCTCTATGATATACAAGTTTTATTCCATAAATGTCAAAGCCATCCGGATAGACTCTTCTAAAGAATCACAGCTACCACTAGTTTGCTTTCATACTGGGTTGATCTCCTGAGTGCAGGTGGTTCATTTTCTCTGCTTATCTTGGCATTATAGACTGGGATTTCCTGATGGTGCCCGTAAAGCAATCTAGTAAATGTAATTTAAATTCAGAATTCAACACATAATTCATTGCCAAATTTAAGTTTTGTTTTTTTTATATACTTTGAATAACCCCCTACAGCAATTGTAATGCTTAGTGTATTAAATGGCATATTAAACGTGGGGTGAAGATGTCCAGGCAATCAGCATCTGCCTTGAAATGGTAAACTCTTGGGGATTGCCAGGGTGATTCTGAACTGAGTCAACTACGAGAACTGTGATTTTGTCCAATATGAAATACAGTGCAAAAACTCAAATGATCTGATAGTGGAGACTCTCTCTCTCTCTCTCTCTCTCTCTCTCTCTCTCTCTCTCTCTCTCTCTCTCTGCTGTTTCATTGTGCAAATACAAAGACCAACAAATGATTGAATTTAAGGCAAATTCACATTACAGAAGATTGGTAGAGATATAATTTAGATCCTTCATGCATCTAATAACTGAGGTAATAGTTGCTTGTAATGTTTACATTTGTTTTCTAGGCGATGCCAGGCTCCGACCAGAGGCTAAACGAAGATTCCATATCTACATTGAAGAAGACCCCAATGATGCAAATGGATACTTTAACCTTGGTATGCTTGCTATGGATGACAATAAAAATGAAGAGGCAGAGAAATGGATGAAAAAGGCCATCAAGCTACAGTCAAGTTTCCGGAGTGCACTCTTTAATTTAGCACTCCTGTATTCACAGACAGGCAGAGAATTGGATGCCTTACCTGTTTTAAATGAATTATTAAGATTTTATCCAGAACATACTAAAGGCCTAATCCTCAAAGGAGACATTCTTATGAACCAGAAAAAGGACACCAGAGGTGCCAAAGAATGCTTTGAGAAGATTCTTGAAATGGACCCCAACAACGTTCAAGGAAAACACAACCTCTGTGTGGTTTATTTTGAAGAGCGGGACCTTCTGAAAGCTGAGAAGTGCCTGGTAGAGACACTTGCCCTTGCTCCTCACGAGGAGTATGTCCGTCGGCATCTGAGCATAGTCAGGAGTAAAATTGCAGCTCTGAATGCTGCAGCTCCAGCAGATGGCAACCATAGTCCAGCAGTGGAGGAAAAAAAAACTCAGCCAGAGAAGTCCAAGAATGAGAAGAATGCAAGGAAATCCTTCCCTGCTAAAAATCCCACAAAGAGCAAAGAGCAGTCAAAGAAGATGGGGAATGGCCTGCCTGATAAACGGACTAAGACCAAATCTACAAAAGAAATCAAGGAGATTGAAAAGAAACGGGCAGCTGCCCTAAAGAGACTAGAAGAAATTGAACGTATATTAAGCGGTGATTAACCTAAGTTATTGATGGACTATTTTTATACTACTGTCAGAATTGTTGGGCTTGTTTTGAAAAATGACATTTTCCTAGTTTATGCATGCATCAGTGCCCTAAGAGTTGAAAAAATTAATGTTATATTAATAACAGGCCCCATTTACTTTGCAAGATTGTATCTAAATTAAGAAGAGGTTTTATGTTCAGAATTGATTACTGTGAGAAATGGGACTCAAGTGAAACAAAAATTACATAACTGTTGAAATGAAAACACAGTTTAAAGAGATGGTATGTGAAAAAGCACAATGTTATTAAAACTAGAACCCATTGTGAGAATATAAGTGTGTAATGTTTTAGTTCACAATTTCACAATGGACATCTTGTTCCAGGTTTTTAAAATTTTTGTATTGATCACTGGGTATGTCTCATGTACTTTTAGTGCATTTAGTTTTCTTCAGTAGTGTGATTTAATTAGTAGAATGATTGTTGTGTAAACAATAAAAGGAAATTACAAACAATTACACTGTAGTTCTGGGGGATGATCTGTGTAATAGTTCTTAAATAACTCTACATCTGCTTACTGAATCATTCGATAAGTTTAGCTGTTGTATTACTTCATATTGGACTTCCTCTAAGTATGCTGTTTCAGTTGATGTAATACAATTTCCTTTTAGAAAGCTTTTTTTTTCTTCTGACTTCACAGTTTGTATTTAACTGTGGTTCCACGGAAACCACAGCTTGGATTATCTTGGGTCATTCATTTCATATCTGTATTTAGAAATATGTATTGTAATGCCAGAAAATAACAATAACTACCAAATGTATAATTTTGTATGGTTGCTCTTTTGAACTGCACATTGCAGGAAGGTACTGTCTCGACTTTAGAGTGCTTACTGTAAGCCCAATTTAACTTGGTTAAATTACTGTCTGTATTGTATGGGGAAAATGCTCTCTTCAGCATAATATATAGGTAAAAAACTAATATTACTGTGACTTCTTTATTTCTTTTTTTTTTTAAGATTATATCACATAATGTAGAATCTTCAAAAACTTTAAACAGAAAAGAAAATAACTTTTTGTACATAGCATTTTCAAAAGAAACATTTTCTCTCTAAGAAATGTCTGTGTTTTCTGTACCATTATTAAAAATAGCTCCTTTTTAGGGTCTCCAGTATGCTTTTGATAAGAGAGGTCTTATTTTCTTGTGAGCACAATTCCTATTAAATTACATTAGGAGTTTTCACACCGAGGATAATTGGACCCAAACTGAAAAGTGACTTTGACTGTGGAATTCCATAAGACAAATCATGTAATTAAGTATTCTTCTAAATAGTGCGTATATTATCTATGAATAAGCTCAGCTCGGAATCTGAAAAATGCTGTGTAAAATATATAATGAAAATAGCAAGTACTGTACTGAAAAACTGTAAAATAACAGTATACTGCTCCATTCTAGCCTGTTGTTGGTTGACAGTATTGTCAGTTTGTAGAACTCTCAGCACCAACGGCATAGAAGTAGCAATTTTAGAACATTGCCCTAGGCCCAACAATGTAAATGCTGTAAATTCTCCTCATTTCAGATCTCTTTCAACAGTAATTTAAAATCCTTACTTAGACCAAGACAGATCAAAGATAAACCCATGTCATCTCAGAAACATTGATCTTTGTTGCACTCCCCACCTTCTGCCAAAAAAGATTGTGAGCAATTTTTTGGGATGTATAAATTATGCAAGAAGCTTAGCATGTTTGGATTTCAATGTGCAGCTTTTATGTGTGTCTTACATACTGTAGGTTGGAAGTTGTGTAGAAAGGGCATGAGAAAAAAGACAAAACTTTCACTTAAAGTGTTAAGTGTCCCAGGTTTTATGGTATATGTTAAGATTGAACTACACTCCAAACTTCATTAATACATATAAAGTATATCATAAACATTATTAATACTATAAATGACCATGAGTTGTAGTGACCTGAAAAGCCTCGGATGTGAGGTGTGCAATATATTCCAACGCTGCAGTTAGCGTTTTCATTTTTTTAGGGTTTGAACAGCGCATTTTAAAAAGTAACCTTGATTGTACAATCTATACTAACAAGGTTTCAGTCCTTAATTAAAAGTACATTATTGACATAAGACGTTGATGAATTAAAAAATATCATGTTCCATCAAAGCCATACTTTTTCTGCTCTGTAACTGACTCCATAATCTGAAAAGGTTACAGTTTGTAGGTTTTAAGAAGAGCTGAAATATTATAATTCAATATTTTTATTTTTTTATGGCACTATATATTCTCTGTACCCGAAGCAGTGTTCAAGCTTTAAGTCCTTTGCACTATAAATTACAATATAAGCTGCCTTAGAAAAGCTGAACATTTTTGAGACATCACTTACACAGAAAACAATATTTTGGAATTTTAAAAAATCGTGACATTTCATGAAATTCTATATTGAATTGTACTTGGACAATATCCATTTAACATTTTTTACAATTATGCATTCTGTATCAAAGTAATGTGTGATAAGCATTATTAATGTTAACATCATATTTAATGTTAAGGTGTGATTATTTTTCTTGTTTGCTTTATTTTTCTTTAACTGGGCTTTCATTAAACTTATCTACTCTTATTTGTATTTTTGTTGTTGACAGTTAGGTATTATTCTTCGGAATAGAATCATTCAAAGACAACCTGTGCACAACTAAATTAAAAATTCAGTTTAATTTCAAAAGTATTGCTTTTATCCTCAATTCATTTCATCAGTATTTTATTATTTGTGCTTTTGCTGATGTTAAAGAATGGATGGATTTGTGACTTGTTTTAACTAAATATAGCTTTTGTAATGCAGTATTTTAATTTGTTTTTGAAAAATAAATTTTGTGTTATACTTAAATAGTAATGGGGCATATTTTCTAATAAAGATTTCTTGAAAGTTATCTAAGATGTTCAAAATTTCTTATAGAGTACAGTTTAAAATGTATGTTTCTATGTGCTATTAATCATTTTTATTTTAACTGAAACACCATATTTGTGCATTTTTCTAAGATTTCAAAATATTACTTTTAAATTTAAAGTTAGATGCTGTATAACATTCAGTTTGTGTTTTGTACATTGGAGATGACAGAAAAGAAAGTTAGAAGTTGAACTGGTTTGAGAATCTGAAATACAGAAATAAATCTTCACTTGAAATAGTTAAATAAAAAAAAAACATTCTTTGCTTTTGTTGATTCAACAATGAGATGTTAATACAAAACAGTGAACACAACACTTTTATTTTGATATTTTCACATACAGTGCCTCTGAATTTATTCATCCCTGTAATGAAATAGAAACAATAGAATTAAAGAGATTTTTTTACAACATGGATAATGTTGCTTAAACATGTTAAAATGTAATAATGCACAGAACAAAAATCCATACTACATCTCCCATAGTGTACTGTGAGGTTCTGACACATCAAGGAAAAAATTTATTAACATTCTTTCTTAGAGAATTGTTTTTCAGATCATTTGATTTCAGTTAAAGAATGGTTGCAATTACAAATGTCAAATTGGACTGAGGTCACAAGATAAGCCAGTTTAAAGCATTAATTTTGTTTAATTGGATGTTTTATACAGAATGCTTTGGATCATTGCTGTGTTGGAATGTCCATTTTTGGCAAAGCTTATCTTCTTGGCAGAAAATAAAATGGGTAACTGGCCAGAATATCCTGGTACTTGCAGGATTTCATGATTATACCTGTCTTGACCAGGGCCCTAGGTCCTGCCCATGCAAAAAACAACCTCAAAACACAATAACCCCCAACCATCACCACTGTAGTTTACTGAGTGATTGTCTCAGAATTATTATTTTTTGTAACCCAGTCTGTATTGGAACAGTTGTGTATCCCCAACTGTTGTCTTTGCATTTACTAGCAGGTTTGCCAGTGTTTCTATAGTGTACATTTCTACAGTGGTAGATTCAGCTTTTTGTGGTTTCTTTTAGAGGCAGTCCCCAACTTCTGAAAGTCAATGACCATGTGCCAGTTATATTTGAAGAGCTCTCTGATCTTAATCATGATGATGCATGCTAATAATGAATGTTTTCAGTGTAGTACCCCATTTTGTACTCCTATTAAACAGGACAATTTTGGAAGGCTCTAGCTCCAGAAGCTTTTGCTGGGGGAAATATTGTTATAGATTTGTGTTGAATTTTACATCCATCCATTTTTTAGCCTCTTCTTCCAATTCATGGTCACAGGTGAGCCGGAGCCTATCCCAGCAAGCAATAACCACAAGGCAAGGTACACCCTGGATAAGATGTCAGCCTATTGCAGGACAGACACACAGACGCTCACACACTCATAATTAGGGCCAGTTTCCCTTAGAAGCTGATATTGGAGAAAGCCAGAGTACCCAGAGGAAACCCATGTGCAGAATGAGACAACATACAAACTCCACACAGAGAGTGTTGTCAGCAATGCTAACCACTATGCCACCATGCTTCCGCTTGTTGAATTTAATTTCAAGGAATACTTAAATGTGAATAAATGTGACCCTTCTGTTTTCTGGTTGCAAGTAATTATGACAAATGTGACTTTTCTCTGTGCAAAACTATTATGATCATAGTGTAAAATTATGCTACATAGTATTGTTTGTTCATATTTCATTGCAGGTAAGAATAAAGTTGGAGGGTGCCATATGCCTGTTTCTTTAAAAATGTTAACTGATATCATACAGTATACTCTGAAAGTACAATGTTGGTGGCAATGAAGTCTAACAGTTTTAAAAATAAAAGATCAGTATATAAATGAGAGGTGGCTATTTGGTACATCGAGCCTGTTTAGTAGCTAGTATGAGATTGTTGAAGTGGTTAATGATTGCTTCTTAACACAGTTTAAAGAAGTTTCTAGAAGCACCAATTAGACACGATGCTCTTCTCTATCTATTGTTTTCAAAAAGCTAGGATATAATTAAGGACATAGGTGTAATAAAACTGGGACCGTAATATGATGTCTTTTGATGTATATTTTAAATTTCAGAAATGGGGTTTTTCTAAAATCAGGGTTTATAATATAATTATTTGAAGGGATGAGGCAGAGTTTACAAGCTGTGAATTGGGAGCAGATTGATAGAGTCAATAAAAAAAATGTTGGCACTTCAAAAACATATGGGGGCTCTCTCAGCCTCACCCTATTGGTTTGGTTGCTGTTCCCTCAGATTGGTGGTTTAATGCCAAACACCTTGCATCTGTAATCTTTTAACCAAACTGCTTAAAGAGCTGCAGCAAAAAATATATATAATTTTCCCACTGTGGATTACCTCAGACCTATCTAGGAGTAAATATTAAAATGCTCAAACTGCCTAGTGATGGTCATCTCTGCTACACACAAATGATATGATTTTTGCACATATTACAGATTTATTTTTGGCATGTAGAGCTGTTTCGTAGGTCTTTTCATAGATGATTTACATGTGAGTCTAAATCTGAAGACTTTATTATTTTATGCATGTTTGTTTCCTTGGTGTCTTTTCACACTGTGGGTTTTAAGGTACAAATAAAATAACTATTATTGCGGTACAAAACAGCACCTGTTGAAAAGCAAAATGAAAACTTACGTAAACATGCGTACAGAATATGTACACAAAATATAAGACATTAGGCTTATGAATTACTCTTTAGAACTCTTTTTGTTATGGGTTTGAAAAAATATGCTTCAAATTATTTTATACTTACCCATAAGTAGGATGTCCATCACAATTTATTTTCTTTATTTAATTATAAATGTAAGACATATTACAAATGAAAGGAGGCTGTTTGGATCACCATGCTTGTTTGACTGCTAGCAGTTTAATGATCAAATTAGAATTCCATGATGTAATTCCTACAGTAGATGAAGCCATTGTTTTCGTAGTATTTTGGAGTCCACTTCAACAACAGGATTTTGCTATTAGGTATGGCTATTATGTCTGAACTAAAAGTGAAATAGCTTTGTAGAGAATTTAAGCATGTA